CTTCTGTATTTTTCTTATGCTTGAGCAAAAATATACCCTCTTAAGTCTCAGGTGGCGAGAATATGCCCAACCAATTCGTCACGGGGCTTGCCATACATGACGCATGCCGCTGGCTAGCTCGGTAGCTTATCAAGGCTCCTCTCGGCTGACAAATGGGCAGTGAGCTCATCCGCGGCGTCACTTCCTCGCTTGGTGTTGTGACTGTGTCGTCCACATTACACATTTAGAAACAAACCAAGGACAAGCAAAAGGAAACAAAGCTGTTTCTCAATGTGTAATTTTCATGAAATGTACGGTAATCTATCAAAGGGGCTTTCCGGGGAAAGAAAAGATTACGTTTGTCGAATGATTGAAACGGAATTGATATCTCATAGCAACTGTTATGAGGTGTTATGTCAAACTCTGGTACAACTTTTATTTTCCCAGGCCAACATGTTTGCCTCTTGCCTCCCCGCTACCGCAAATTCACACGTTTCAGTCACTCAACACCCATGTGAGTTGCTTCGCCCACAAGGCAGCAAGTGTTTGGTATCACTGTAGTCCAATGAATAATGGAGCAGGAGCCCAGCTGAGAAACGACAGAGTACAGTATATATTGGCGAGTTATCTCCAGGCCAACACACGCACATGTCAATGCGAGCACTGGAGCGTTGGACACATGTTATTGTTGTGTGGCATGCTGGGAGAGCTGTGACCATCAACGGTGGGATGATAGAGCATTGTCTTCATTTGATCAAAAAACAGCTGCCTCAATGTTTGATGAGCTTTGAAAATGCACACAAACCTCTCGTGAGTGACAAAGGCGGACCTTTTTTTTCTCAAAGGGTCATTTCTGTTTTTTAAACAAAACAGTACCATAAATGTATGAAACAATTTGGATGCAATATTGTTTTTAATTATACAGGAGCCTTTTGGAGGTGAAATGCTTTTATTCCCCCTCTAATGGTTTTATTAGAGTCACTGTTTAATTTTATTTTCAAACAAATTTTGAGGATCTCAACATGATATGCAATGTTTAAGGCAGGGGTGTCCAACTCCGGTCCCCGAGGGGCCCTGTACAGAGAACATATTGTAAAGAACATTTTTGACTTGACTTTCCCTAACTTAACTCGTTTTAACATTTTTAGAGTTGCATTTAAGCCAGATCAAATGCTCTTACGGGCCGTGTACCACCCACCACCATAAATTGGTCACACTTGAATTAAGTACTCACTTAAATATAATGGTCATTTTTTTAAAATGATATTCATTTATCTAACTGTTTACCTATCTATATCTAGCTTTCCATCCATCCATCCAGCTAGCTAGCCAGCTCTCGACAATACCCTATCATAAAAAACAAAAACAAAAAAAAGATGCACATGCCACTCTATCCATCAATTTTATAGGACACACATCCTCATTAGGGTCATGGGTGGGCTGGAGCCTATCCCAGCTGACTTTAGGCAAAACTCGAAGTACACCCAGGACTAGTCTCCAGCCAATCGCAAACGACTTATCCTCATTTTGTCCAGGGTGAGCTGGAGGCTATCTATGCTAAATTTTGGCTACAGGCAGGGGAAAACCCTGGACTGCTTGCCAGCCAATCATACCCAAGAAGAATTTTGATTTTTGTAATGCAGGAGCAGCCTGGGTAAGCATGGGGAGACTATGCAAAATCAACATATCTAGGAACCTGGTATCAAACCCTCAACCGCAGAACTATGAGGTGGATGTGTTAACTACCCCTGTCACCATGCCATGTCAGAAATATGTCTGATAATATATATAAACTCACAGTGACTTTCCACACACTCGGTGGACACAAAGTGGATCGAGCAAAATTGAATTGAGTGATAAAAGTTCACAAGTTCAACCCTTTCTTGAAAGAGAGATCCATGTAGCTCAGCTACCGTAAATACAGGCTGTTCTGAAAGTCACTGTCCATCGATCTGTACATCTCGGTCCATCAAAGAATAACAATGTTATTCTTCCTTAGATCGATTTATGAAAAATTGGGCCATTTGTCTTCTTCACAATTAAATATATTTACAATGATTTGAATTCCAAGCATTCCCTTTGCTTAACCAATGCCCCCCCTTAATAGATTGAAAATTATGGCTGAACGGTATGGTACGGTACGATATTGAACGGTATGGATCCAGATGGAATAATCTAGATGGGTGGCGACAGACGATTTGGGAGGGGACTGTGCTGAAGTGTCCTTGAGCAAAAACAGTGGAGCCCACCACCCCTTCACACGCACGTTACTTAAGTGCACCTTGACGTCCCCTCAAAAGGGACTCCAACATACCCCATCACACAAGGTGACGCCCGCTTCTTGGTGCTAAAGTCAACTATTTTTAAAAGGACTCTACCTGATGATGTCATCGTTGTGGCCCAGGTAGAATTTCTGCTTGTGTTCTCGGGTGTTGTACACCACTCCCACGCCGGCCACGAAGTAGACGATCTCCTTGGCGGCGGTGTAATAGAGGTTGTTGCGACACTGATGTCCCCGGTATCCGTACACCCACTCCAGTCTCAGGTGGCAGTTGGGAGCAGTTCTGTCAGCCATGTCCGCACTTCCCTGTGTCTCGCGGTTTCTGTCACGTCTCAAACAGTGGCATTCACCGAGGAGGATTTAATTTAAGCCCGTGGCTCCCATCAATTCCCCGGCGTTTTCATCAATCCGGGGCGAGCGTAAAAATGTGGCATTTTGGGAGGTTGCAATAGTCCTTCAGCTTGGGTGGAACGACTCTTTGGCTATTCGAGAAGCAGTTTAGGAAGCCGAGTTGTTGAGAGTGGGAGTGGAAGTGGGCTCATACTTCTTTAACTCCGTGTCGCGGTCCTCCTCTTCCACACAGGTCAAAGCTCCTGTCAAATCCTACCAACAAAGATGGAGCTGCGCTATTCCACAAGCTCCGCCTATACAGATGACGGACAGGTCTCTTGTCCAATCAGACTGTGTCAGTCGTTCTCGAGCCCCCCCTAAAAAAAGCAGACAAGGACATAGCTAATTGCATCCTATACAACTGAGTCGGTTTTAATGTGTTTACAATTTACACACGTACCAAATTAATAGAGATCATAAGGTCACATCACCACAAGGTCTTACAATGTTAGCTGTTAAATCACATTTTTAACCATCTGAATCTGATGGACAGCTGCATGGAAGGAGCGGTTAGCCTCACGGTTCTAAGCACATCAAATGATGACAATGGATAAAAGTCGACACACCTTTGTTCAGATGCTTGGTTTTAGTGATATAAATAAAATTACACAAGATCAACTATTTCAAAACTTTGTAGACCATTAATATGACCTGTAACCTGAACAATTCGGTTCAAAAAAGAACTACTGTAAATTATGTTCTGGAGGGGGAAAAATGTAATGTGTTTGCACAAACGTGCATACCATACCACAACTGGAAATGTGGCTGTGTTCTCAAATAACTAATCACATTCAAACGCATGCTAAATGCGAGTTAGCACTCACCTGCCACCATTTAAAATGCCCCTAGCAAACTTCAGATATTCTCGTCAACGTATTATTAGTAGACGTTTTGTATGGAATTTTTATATCTAATTAACACACAGTTCTCCTCTGGCCTTCCTGTGTGGAGTTTCCTGTTCTCCCCATGCCTGCGTGGGTTTCCTCCCACATCCCAAAAACATGCACGGAGGGCCTGTCCTCCGAGACAAGTTTCTCCTACAGGAGACCTAATAAAAAGTCAAATCAAATCAAATTAATGGAAGACTCTAAATTGTCCCTAAGTGTGATTGTGAGCTCGAATGGTTGTATGTCTATGTGTGCCCTGCGATTGACTGGCAACCAGTTCAGGGTGTTCCCCGCCTCCTGCCCAAAGACAGCTGGGATACGCTCCAGCACACCCGCGACCCTTGTGAGGATAAGCGGATTAGAAAATGGATGGATGGATATATCAAATTAAATTCAGTCCACATTGGGGTAGGATGGGGGAATAGCACTTTGCGTATCTGCCTCACATTTTTGATGTTCAGGGTTCAGATCTTGGCTTCAGCCTTCCTGTTTGGAGGTTCCGTGTTCTCTCAGTGAAGCGTGGGTTCTCCGTGGGCACACCAGCTTCCTCACACAACCTAAAAATATTCATGATAGGTTAAATAGTCCATGAAAGTGATTGTGATTTTTTTTTGTGTCTGTGGTTTGGCTGACAACCAGCCCAGAGGGTTCTCTTTTCCAAAGTCAGCTGGGATATGCTCCAGTTCATCTGCACAGGAATGTAGAAGAGTAATATCTGATTGCATGGAGATGAAATATCTGTTTGATCATGATAATCTGATTAAACATTCATGGGTGACAGTAGTCAAGTCACTAAAAGACCAGCGTGTTGTGAATGAAGAGTTTGGGCGAAACATACTGTGTCACGGGGTAAAGTGATCGAGCTTCCTCGTCCTCGTCAGGAGTCTACCTGCAACATTTTAAATTTTGACAGTGAGCGCGGATGGTTGTTCGTTTCTGTGTGCCCTGTGATTGGCTGGCAACCGGTTCAGGGTGTCCCCCACCTACTGCCCGAAGACAGCTGGGATAGGCTCCAGCCCCCCCCCCCCCCCCGCGACCCTTGTGAGGATAAAGCCAATTAGAAAATGAATGAATGAATGAATGAATAAATAAATAATAGAGTCCATGACAACTGTTAAAGTTGGAATGGCCATGAAGCAATTCTTCTAATAAATAGCCAGCAGAATTTAATGTCATATAACAAGGCCTCAAGCAAGTAAAAAGTGCAAACACGGACAGAAAGCTAAAGCCAAGTTAATGAGACGAAGACACGCCATCCTCATTTGCATATCAAGGAAATGAAAAGAGAAAACAAGCGTACACATCAAACACATTGTAAAATTCTATTTAAACATTTAACAAAATCTACTTATGAATGGATCTTTGAAAAACAATCTGATAAACAACCTAGCCTGGTCATAGTTGAGTTTTTTTACAGGAAATTACGTCACGATGACCCGCCCTCGTCTTTCGTCTCATAGCAACAAAGGAAGCTTTGGATTCTCCATAATCCTCTCCCTTCAAAACCCAGCGCTTTGCTTGTTTCCACCCCTGACCGATCGAAGCAATGGAGGTGACGATGGACCCTCTGTTTCTGGCGTGGAGTTATTTCAGAAGGCGGAAGCTGCAACAGTGTTCCGAAATTTGTTCTAAAATATTGCAAGACAGCCCGTACGACCAGGTAATGTGTTGCAGTTAGCAGACTAGCACGAATTGATAGCTTGGTTGTGCTTTTAATTTGTAGGAAATGCGTCTAAATCCTGATTAGTCGACATTGTCTGGAATGTTGCTCACAATCACGTTTCACCTTTTTTCCTCGCTCTTATTTGTTTGCCTCTCGCCTCTTTATTCATGTCTGTCCTCAACATCCCATTATTTACCTCCTTGCATGCTCTCTTAGGACTCCTCCTTGTCTGTTTCTGAGGTAACAATAAGTGTCTATTTTATTGTCTGTTTCTGAGGTAACAATAAGTGTCTATTTTATCATCATCCTCATCATCATCACCGGCATCCGTTTTCTATCACAATCAGGACTTGGTGGCTATTAAGTGGTATTCATGTGATTGTTTCCTCCCTTCTCCTAGGCTGCATGGAGCCTAAAAACACAGGCTCTTACAGAGATGGTATACATTGATGAAATTGAGGTTGATCAAGAAGGGATTGCTGAGATGATGCTGGATGAAAACGCCATTGCTCAGGTTGCACGTGCGTATCGACTCTTTCGGTACCTGTGTGTTGGCAGTGAGCTATTCTTCACAAAAGTAGATCTCTTCTAGGCCCTGGAACTTCTCTGAGACTGCCTGGAACAAGTCATGGGGGTGGTCCCACACCTGCTGTCAGGTACAAATATTGCTGCCTAAATTCAAATTTTTATGAGTGACTTACATGTGTTCAATTGTTTTTTTTTTCTCCCTAAATTGTAGGCCTATGACTCAGTCAGGACGTCCCATTACAGGATTTGTGAGGCCCAATACACAGTCGGGACGTCCTGGCACGATGGAGCAGGCCATTAAGACGCCACGCACCGCAAGTACGGCCCGACCCGTCACCAGCGCCTCGGGTCGATTCATTCGTCTGGGAACAGTGGGTTAACCTGGCTGACTTGTGTGATATGTGGGAAGGTGGTAGGTTTACAAATTGTAATATGTACTTTTCATTGTTTCCTTCAGGCTTCAATGTTAACCAATCCAGAGGGGCCGTTTATAAACCTGTCAAGGCTAAATATGTCAAGATATTCCCAAAAGCCCAATCTGTCCAGGGTAAGACATCGGTATTTTGCACATTTGCCTTAAAGCCTTTTGTGTCGCGGTTGTATTGGTTGAGTAACTTTCATTTCCCTTCTCAGACACTCTTTGAGTACATCTTGCATCATGAAAATGATGTCAAAAACGTAAGTGGGGAATTTTAACAAAATTGTTCTGTTGTCTATTTTCATAACAGTTTTTTTTTCATTTGCAGGCGCTAGACTTGGCTGCTCTAGCAACTGAGCAGGCTCAGTTCAAAGACTGGTGGTGGAAAGTCCAGCTCGGAAAATGCTACTACAGGCAAGTTGCCCCAACACACATGCAAGGGACAGGATACATTCATTTTATAGACAGTAGAACACAATCTGGTCTGTCTCACCTCTAATGTATTTTAGATATGGACCGAATTCTCTTCTCACAGCAAATCATGTACTGTATGTGCTTAATATGTTATACTTAAATGTTCCAAGGTAAACATTTTGACATCATAAAAGCCTTATTCAACTGTACGGGCGGTGCTTTAATTCACATTTTGACTTTTTTAACTCCCATAAAAGTGTGAAAATATCTTCTAAATATGAATTTGTCTCACCTTGGCAGGCTTGGTTTGTACCGAGAGGCAGAGAAACAGTTCCGATCAGCTCTCAGCCATCAAGAGATGGTGGATACGTACCTCTATCTTGCAAAGGTAAATTTAAACGCTGTGCAACCCTCAGCCAAGTCTAACTTGTGAGTGCAAGCACTGATAGGAAGCAACGGATTACTGCACTTAAGTAAAACTATTTTACCTGATTACCAGATTAATTTATTGCTTGTGCTTGTTTAAAAAATAGCTGGAGTTCTTTTTAAGTACAGAGTATAGGTTATTCAGCCTCCTCTGCTAATAAGACATACTTCCCCATAAGCTGTATCAGCGCCTGGATCAACCAATAACAGCCCTCAACCTCTTCAAACATGGCTTGGACCACTTTCCTGGCGAGGTCACCCTACTGACGGGAATCGCTCGCATACATGAGGTATGGAGTGTTGCCGTTAAATCAAGGTCCGCTCATCTTCATGAGCTGTAATCGCTGTCCGTACTGTGACCGCATTGACACAGGAGATGAACAACATGGCGTCTGCCACCGAGTACTACAAGGAGGTCCTAAAGCAGGACAACACACACGTGGAGGCCATCGCTTGTATCGGCAGCAATCACTTCTACTCGGATCAACCTGAGATTGCGCTGCGCTTCTACAGGTCGGACAAAACCTCTTAGCATCATGTCGTGCACATTTCATGATGATGATGATGATAATGGTGACCCACTTCTTGGTTTGCTAGGCGGCTTCTGCAGATGGGGGTGTATAATTGTCAACTATACAACAACCTGGGCCTGTGCTGCTTCTACGCGCAGCAGTACGATATGACGCTGTCGTCTTTCGAGAGAGCGCTGGCCCTGGTGGCCAATGACGAAGAGCAAGCTGATGTGTGGTACAACATTGGACAAGTTGCTTTGGTCAGTGGACCAAATGAAATAATGTCATTACTTTACAACGTGTGGGAAAAAAAAATCTAAAAGCGAATTGCACATATTCTGTGTTTGCAGGGTATTGGAGACCTGACTTTGGCCTACCAGTGTTTTAAACTGACGTTGGCTTTTAGTAATGACCATGCCGAAGCCTACAACAACCTCGCAGTGCTGGAGCTCCGCAAAGGTCGTGTTGAACAGGTAAACCTTTAGGGGCCAAGGTAAACCAGGTCAAGGGGTCCTCCGCATCTGTATGCTGCAAATATTTAGTTTGTCATCAACTAAAATATGTGAATTTGAGAAGAAGCTTCTATTTCCTGACCTAGATAAAGTCTTCTTATCTAAGAAGTGAATCATATCAACACTTTTCATGTCATTGAGATGAACATGAATCACCATTTAACTCATTCAATACCAAAGATGTTTTTTTTTTTTTTTTTTTTAAGAATCCAGGCATTTAATCCCAGATATGTGTTTGTGTTTTTTCATGTGGTAGGGTCAAGAAGGGTCTGAAAATGGCTGGCACTGAATGAGTTAATATGGTTTACCATTTCAACCACTTTAATACTCACATCTTGTGTGATTAAAAGTGTCACTCTTCACTTCATCTCCACACTGCATCCTCCTCGGCTGGCACGGACAGCTGGAGTGTCGGTTTTCTCTTGCTGTTGTCAGCTACTACGCACATTCGGGTCACCATGACCTTTGGTAGTTTTGATAAAAACTGTTTTCCTCTCATTTCTCTTCTTCACCGCTTCATTTCCCTCACATCACGCCAACGAGTTTGTGACTTTATTTTTACCAATCTTGCAGCGCACCACCAAACCGAAATCTAAAAAAAAAGTGGATACATAGGTTAATTATGTACCCACTGCCATCTAGTGGAAGAGCGTATCATTGTTCTGTATGTGGCCATACGTCACTACCATAACTATAAGATGATTAAAAATACATTTGTCGTAAATAAATAATATTCAGACCAATCAAGTAAAAAAAAAAAAAAAAAACATACCGTAATTGCTGAAAACAAATTAAAAAGTATTTCTCTACAGAGTATGTTTCTCGAAAACACACTTTATCTAGCTACTGTATATCCCACTTCATTTATCTCCCATAGCTTCATACAAGAGATATGAATGCATATTTAAGTGGATCTCAGGCAACTTTCTGAAATGAAACATTTTTGATGGCGGCGATTAAAATTGTCGTGACCTGAATTATTTTTCCATCCTTTTGCATTCAGTCAAAAGCCTTCCTGCAGACGGCTGCCACATTGTCGCCTCACATGTATGAGCCTCACTACAATCTGTCCATTCTCTCTGAAAAGGTAATTTATGTCCCCCTGACACCTTTCGTTAATTGAAAAAAATTAAGAACTCAGTAATTTAGTCATCTTTTCTTTACGTGTCCAGATTGGAGATCTTCAGAGCAGCTATATGGCGGCCCAAAAGTCTGAAGATGCCTTCCCTGAACACGTCGACACTCAGCAGGTCTTGGTACAACTTCGCCAGCATTTTGCAGCACTGTGAACTCTTGGAATGGTTTGAATGCTCCCCATGTAGGGTTTTCAAAACCTCTCTTCCTAAAAGTTTTGAAAGAGAATTTTCTCTGTGTAATATAGCAGAAGATTCAATAACGGAACCGGCTGTTGATCAAAGCTGTAAATCCTAACTTAGATGATATTTAGAGCACATTTGTAAAAGTTTAGCTTGCAATTGAGGCTCGAAATGCCGGCCTGTGTATAAACTGGAGAATTATTTTGTAAGAGAATGTATTTTTGACGTGAATGGCAACATAATGTATAAACATGTCAAACAGTGTGTATGTGGTCAAGAGCATTTTTTATTGGTTGAGAGATCAACTTTTGTAGTTTGTTAATACATCTCATAAATTGGAACCATTTTTGACTGTCTGTGTTCTTGACAAATACAGCCGCATCAGTTTAAAAAAAAAAAGACACTAACTGGCTGGCATTTCACAAATCCATTTGGAGTTGTAAATGCACGGGGCATCATTCCAGCCTTGAAAGGGATTGTTTCTGGGGTAGATGGCTCCACAGTCCTCATCGCCCAAGTTATTGGGCTCGCCGTGATTCCAGTAGCTGAAACAAATGGCAGATCATATTGTTCAGCAATCAAAGCCCATTTTTAAAAATTGCTAGGCATTCTTCATTTTACACTTAAAATGTATTTTAGGGACCACCGAGTCCCTCTATTACTCTGTAAGAGGATAGACCATGTTTCATTTGAGAACCTATTTAAGTCAATGGCTTTACACTTCAGTTATTCACACATGCAATATTGTATTTTTAGCATGTACATTAATGTTAAATGGACTGCGGCTTTACTGCGCCATTTCATATCTGCTCTATTCAAATCACAGTGTCACCTCTTTCACACAGTCACACAACTCTGTGTTCATTGACACACTTATGGCACGATATCATACAATTTTTGTCTTACGTCTTGTTTGCAAAAGATGCAATAACAGTATGCCCTGGCTCCCACCTAAATCGTAACTACTTACTGCTTGTGTCTTCAGTGCAACATGTCAAGGCCATGACTGCTATCAAACACGTGCACAGATAGACCTCGAGTGGTGCTGCAGCACCAACCTTTTTGCCCCAGTTGAGTAAATTGCCCTTTGCCCGAGCCCATTTTCTTCTTCATTCATCAATATTTTGAAAAAAGAAAAGAAAGCTCTCTGACATCAACGCAATGATTGGACGCATCACTTAAGCGTTACCCTTCATTCAGTCTTGTTCCGTCCAGCCACTTCCACACTCCTTCGCTGTCCACATCTCGCAATCCGATCCAGAAGCCACTCTGGGAAATGGGTCTCCTTTCGTCATGATGAAGATTTATCAGCTGATTTATTTTCAGCTGATGGGTGACGGCATTTAAAAATACGCACATACACACACACATGAACACACACACACACACACGCACACACACAGACACACACGCACACACATATACACGCACACACTGATGTTACTGCAAGAAATAACAAATGTTACCTTGATGCACTGATTCGATAAAAGCTGTTCCAGATTGGTCTCACCTGTTTCTCCGAACTGTCTATCTTAGCCAGGTCGCTGTCATGCTTTTTGCAAAACTCCCTGGCTTCCTGCCACGACTTGCGAGAGTACGTGTCAGAGAAGCTAAGGAAGTAACATGCCGAGTTGATTAAAGTCCAGCCTGGTAAACAGTGTCTGCAGCCCTCCTCTGCAGAAAGGCATGATTATATTTATGTTGTGGTGATCAAGAAGATATTTAATGACACACTATAGTAGTGGGCCGTGTACTATGTTAAAAACAAGTCTTACTTAGCATTGGTATGTGGGATTTTAAGATAGTAATGTCCATTTGGATTTTGTCTGCCTGCTTTTTGTCATCGCTGCTTCTTGTCGTCTGGTGTTCCACCTGCCACTTGATCATTTGATGCTTTCTCTTCTCTTGCGCCAACTGCATTTCGGCCTCAGCTCGTTTTTTTGAGGCAATTTCGTAGGCCGTGTTCAGCGCAGCCACCTCACGGCTGATGCTCATCACCGCCTGAGACTCGTCTGTGAGGTTGTTGTCTGTTGCCATGGAAACATTGCAGTCAAACACTAAATGCAGCATCTATCAAAGACTTCAGAGTTAGTATACGAATAATAATGTCAAGAATGAAATAGTATGAAGTTATCTTATTGGAGTGCTCGTCAATATATCAATGCAACATTTATTTAAAATCATTGTTTCACTATAATTTATCCAGAAAGACAGCTTTACGGTTTTTAAGACTCAGAACAACAACAACAACAAAAACAAAGCATGCATTTTGTATAAGATGCATATGATTCCTTTATTAATTCATTAAATTCACCTTTTCCCTGAAATTTTAAAACTATACTTCCAAGTACTGGGAATGGAAATCCAAATGCACAACACATCCAGTGCAAATCCAAAAGTAACCTGAACACGGTATATAAGAGACTAAACAGAGCAGCTTGACAGTAAAAACGACAACTTAACCGAAGTGAAGATGCAAAGGGGACTATGCAGTCTGATCACCAAAGCTTGATTACATTACCTTTAACTACTCTTGTTTTTACTTTACACTCCCTTTATTGTCAACTCCCCGCTTGTTGCAATCTAATGGCCACATAACAAGTTCAATGGGGACTCACAATAGACTCCCAGGCCAATATCCACTGCTAGCAGGACAGCGGCAAGCCCAGCCAGCGTGATTTCAAGCACTCTTTGAGAGGTCCAATTGGATGCGGGATTCACCATTGACAAGGACACTCCACGGAGAAGCAAATAAAGCATAAAAGAACTTTTGAGTAGCAAATCAGAGTCCATAACAGGGAGAGGTCTTGTATCTATTAGTATACTGTACCTTGCTTGTCCTGGTGTGAGTGGAGCGGCGGCTCGTCCACGCTCAGGTCCTCCCGGTGTATCAGTTTGTTGTAGGCGCTCTCCTCCATGTTGACTGTTCTCATGAGACCTGCGGGAAGGGAGTATTTGGGAGGACATTGCCCCGTGTGTGCAGCATTACAAACAGAAAAGGTTCATGAGTTAAATATTGACATGGAGACCCAGAGGAAGCAACTTGTAACGGGATCAAAAATCTATAGCCTTCCAGCTCTGCAGTTGATGTTAATAGTTAGTAATTGAATGAAATCACAAAACCTATATTGGTAAATGACAAATCTCCATAGAGGCCAATTTGAGTGTGAATGATTGTATGGGATTGGTTGGTGACCACACTGAATTTTTTTGTTGTTTTTGTTGAAATTACTCAATTTTCTTTCATCAAATGGTTGCACGAAACAAAATCATTTGGATCCAGATACTATTTTTTTCAGCAGACTCCACATCTACTTTATTTTAATTTCCTCAATTTTATTTCAGCAATTGGTTGCACAAAATAAAATCAAATGGCTCCAGATATGATTTTTTTTTGTAGATATACAGTCTACTTAAGAAAAGAAATATATCTTTTACCTTTAATACTCGCTATGGTCAGTCACTAGCAGAAGACTTCATATTCTCAGTTGAAGTATTGAATGGATGCCAGGAAGATTGAGACACAGCTGTGGAGCCTTTTTCTGCGAGATTGCGGAAGAAGCTCTAATCTGTTCAAAATGGTTTCTATTCTTTATGCTTCCTTGGCCACCCACCCGCAAGGAGGGCGACTCTGTCTTGCTCATGTGACTACATGTGACTAGATGGTCTTAACTGATCACAACTAGATGTATACCAAGGGTGTCACGGAAAAGAAGATGCTGAGCCAGGAGGAAAGGTCACAGCGACACAATGGCCTAGCTCAAGTCACCGATCTAAATGGTTTAATCTAAAATTTACAAAACAACATTTAAAGGCAAAACACAATATTTAGAAGCAAGTATATAAGTCTAAAAGAATTTAAATTCAGCTCTATTTGCATCTTATTTCATTTGCACGCAGCAGAACAGCTAAATGCCGATACACCATATTTGCTTTGAACTCTGGGCTCCACCAATCCACCGAGTCTGCTGACCTTAGAAACCTACTGGGTTTGTATTCCATGAGTGCTTCTTTCATGTATTCAGGACCGAAGCCATTCAGTGGTAAAGGAGGACAAGCGCAAAAAAAAAAAATGCACGCATGAATGGATGGATTACATTTGGGGCTTTTATGCGCTTAGGTTTATTGGACATTTTGCATGAGCATGATTACGTTCAGTTCTCCTCAAAGGGCTTTGCCTCCATCTCGCATATCCAGTTGTACAGATGGTCCTGGCAGTTTCCATTGTACCATGTTTTTGTGGCGTCTGTAAAGTAAATAAAAGCTGCACAGTCCCCAGTCTGAAGTCCAATGGTGGTGGGCTGGTGATTCCTCCAGTACCTTGAGTAAATCAAGTCAAATAACATACAAAATTGGATTGTTGTATTGAATAAATGCGTTAGAAGTCAGCAAGATGCACACCCTGTTTCAATGGCAGTCGTGTTGTTTATCCATGTCCATTTTCCCCGTGACTCGGTGTCTCGTAGACCCATCCAGAATCCATTCTGCCACCACAAACGTGAACTGGAGCTCGCTTTTGGAACATTATCACTTATAAGTATCTGGAAGAAAGAAAACCAAAGTTGAACGGAACTGTACAAGTACAAGGTGTTTATAAAATCAAGAAAACAGCAACTCGTTGTTGAGGAGATCCAATTCTGCGCCCTGACTACCGCTGAGATGCCCTTAAGCACCCCCCCCACCCCACACACAACTTTATAGCTCAGTCAACATTTATAATCTATCATAGCCAGATGTTTCTTGCAAGCATGGATACTGTGTGTGTGGTTTGCTTCTCTGTGTGTGACAAAAAATATACAAGCAGAGTAAACATAAATTCCGTTTGAGGGATTGTAATTGGGGGCGGCCCGGTAGTCGAGTGGTTAGCACGTCGACTTCACAGTCCAGAGGTACCGGGTTCAATTCCAGCTCCAGCCTCACTGTGTGGAGATTGGATGTTCTCCCCGTGCTTGCGTGTATTCCGGTTTCCTCCCACATTCCAAAAACATGTATGGCAGGCTGATTGAACACTCCAAATTGTCCCTAAGTGTGAGTGTGAGCGTGGATGGTTGTTCGTCTATGTGTGCCCTGCGATTGGCTGGTAACCGGTTCAGGATGCCCCCCGCCTACTGCCCGAAGACAGCTGGGACAGGCTCCAGCACCCCCCGCGGCCCTAGTGAGATTAAAGCGGTTCAGAAAATGGATGAATGGATTGTAATTGTTTGTCACTACTGGTGTGAACGTGGGAGTGAATGGTTGGCCGTCTGAATGTGCCATATAGTCATGACAGGTGACTCGTCCATGATGTAGTGCATCAGTCGATGTGATCATTTGAAAATTTGAACACTGACCGAGATTTTTTTTTTTTTAATGTAAAAATAAATATATTCTCATGTTAAAAATGAAATATTGCCTTTGGACCTGTTCCTGCAGGTTCTTGATCACGAGAAGGTCCCCGCCTCGCCCAATGCAGTCTGCTCTGCTGTCTTGCCAGTTTTTTTTGGCGTTGGGCTCAGGGAGGGAAAAATAATAGCAGGTTGATTTAAGAAGGGTCCATCCTGATGGACATCTACCACAGTTTTGCTCTGTTGCAACAATCCCAAAATGATGATTATTTAATACAGCGATTCCAAGATTGACTGCACCATGATCTCAGACTTACCAATAATAGCTTTTGTCGCCTCTAACTGAGCCTTTTCTTTTTGATGTATTTCAATTTGGCTGCGAAGGGTGTCACCCAGTCTCGTCTGCTGTTTCAGTTGCAGTTTCAGC